ATTGATAATAACCTTTCTGATATAGGATTAAAATATCTGAGACACGTATAATCAATCAGTTTTGTTTAGTGTTTTTCTACAAAAAAATGGAATCACTAGAATTTCTACTCTAAATGACGTGAATTCGGACACATGAGTGAATTCGAATTCCAGAATCGCAGAGCTGTACAGTGGTTTGAACTGTGAGTTGATAGATCACTATGTCAGTAAGTCTGAGTTATATATATTTAGAAGATTATTGTGGTCATCTCTAATCGCTTTTTGTTGTTTTAAATACTTTTTTGTTCTTGTCTCCCTTTTTGGTTTTATTTTTCTTCATTAGGTTAGTCTTTCTTTCTATAATGTATTTTGTGTTATCAACTTATGGCGCTGTAATCGTATAATGTATTAATTATGAAATTTCTATTCTTTTTTAATTTTGTTCAAATTTCAATGATTCCAAAATTATAAAAATTCTTTGCGGTTGGTTAAGAAAGTAACGATCATTCTCATCATAAATTAACATAAGAAATAATAATTTATTGATAAAAATTGCCTACGTAAAAGTAGGAATGAATGTTTATATACTATAGGTTCCTACTGAAACCCCTGGGAACCGATTTGACCCCAAAGACTTGATGTCGCCCACTCTAGGAATTCATGTTCTTTTGTTTTCGATCCATGGAAATACGTTACGCCGCCTACTACCTACGATCCCTGCCTCTGTATTTGCAAGAAGAGAAAATTAAGTTCAAAAACTAAAAACTGATTGTAGCTATATCACGCATAATATATATATATATATATATTGAAATATGCTAATTAAGCAATTTCATTTGATATCCTACACGGAATGATTGAATATACACACTGGCCAAAAATCATAACCCTCCTTTTCGCTTCGCCATAGTTAGGTATAAAACTACGAACAGTACCTACTTAAGTATAAGTTCCTTATAACAAAAAACTCATTTAGTTTACAGTTATAAAATAAAAACAAAATATCTAGTTACCACGAACTAAGCAGAAATAGTGAATAACGACAATAGGTAACTAATGATAATGACTCATTACAAATTATTGCAAATAACGCAACACTTAGCAAAATGGCCCTGATACGAGATTTTAAGTGCCTATATTTAACGACTGTCTGATTTGGTTTTAACAAATATGTATTTTACCTGTAATATGTACACAGAACACAGAAGAGAGGTTGTAATATACATATTCGTAAGTGTTCCGTTCCGGGGTGGAAGGAGATTTTTAGTCATCACCGACAACATGGTGGGTGCCTATCCACTGAGCGTCGTCCGGAGTTTGTTTTCCTAATTTCGATATGATTGTCATAGCTTTTTTGTCATTTCATTATCTTAGCATTTTTTTGTCATTTCGAATAATATAAAATTAGATTTATTGTAATCGCTTCGTAAATTTAATTTAAATGTGTAATACTTACTCTTCCTTCGGGAAAAAAATGCTTTCGAACACAAACCACCTCTTTAATATAAAATATTGCATAACATAGATTTAACTAATTCAATGTGAAGTAATCATTAATTACGATTTTTTTATAAAAAACACAAAACAAGATTAAATTGATTCATATAACCTCAAATTCCATCTATGTGATTTTCGAAACTGATTTCACTTCACTAGTACTGTTGTAATTGTATACTCTGATGTACCTAGGGTGCTGATGAACATTTTTTTAGAAAATGAATGTTGTATGATGTGGGTAAAATATTGTGATTAGTCTTTTCTGTTATTCATTCGTTATAAATATACAAAATCTTAATTATCGAGAAAGAAATATTTTGTTAAACATAAAATAATATTGCTAGGATACTTTATCTATATCTATGATAGGTATAGGTGATTTTCCACTCTAGAAGTAGCAGTATGTGCTACGTTTTTTCAATCTTTATAGGTCAAATAAAAAAAAAGATCTAATCAGTCATATCATAGAACACAGCGAACCAATCAATGGCACCAGTACTGAAAAACATTTATTCAGTTACGGTCCGAGTAAGCGAAACAAGCAATGTGTTGATGTTTCCGTCGCTTTAAACTGTGACGGAGATAATAAAGGGTTGTCAACGTTTTTTTTTTCGACTGAAAACTAATAACCATAAACCTGAATATTTAGTACACGTCATCAATATATTAATGAACGGTAGGATTAAAAAAAAAATTAGATCAAAAAGAAATCTGACAGTTGTGGTAGTAAAAGTACGCTGCCTTTATTCATTTAAACCGCTGGACCGAAACATAATATTGAGTATTTATAAGTATTTCTACTAAAACAATATAACCATGGCACGAGATTGGTATAAATTGGACGAATTAACGGTACTTTCTTAATTTCTCCATGACCACTCCATCTTAAAAGGAACGGAAATGACAATCATTGGTCCACTCGTTCCCTGCAAAAATCTACTTTTGCTAGAGTCGCCATCTAGTGAGCTGCTTTTTGTACTTTCTTTTTTTTCTTAAAATACTTCCTCATAGGAATGACGACTAATGTTTGGTTGTTTGTCCGTCGGTTAGATTGTTGAAAAATATTAAAGTCGTTTTTTTTAAAGTTTCTCGTAATCATTAAATTACGGCTATTTGTTAACGAAGCAATAGGTGTTATAAGGGCAATTGAGTGGCCAGCCCTTCGGAGGGAACCCAATTGGAACCCGGAAAATTGCCACAGGCTGTTTATAAAGAATTTGACGACTAAGCAATTAAAATTTTAAAAAATACATGAAAGAATTAACTTAAATAAAAACTAAAACAGTTTTTACCTAGTCGTCATCCCTATTTAGTTTTAGACATATCCGTGAAGAACGCTGTATTAGAGGCAGTATCATGTCTTACTTCTGTAACATCATAAATAATCTTAAAATGCGATTCTTTGAATTCATATGAGCATTTCAAAAATAGGAAGCATTTCGAAATTTCGTTTTTGGGGAAATAGAGTAGGTTCAAACTTGAGTGCGTTCGGAGTTGTATGTTTTATTGAATTCCGGAGGTGCTGCAACCCTAGTAACGTGCGTAACGTGACGTGATGACTGCGGCTCGGCGCATGCGCACCGCAGCCGCTGCCGGCCGCACACTTTCCATTTAACATTATAGACAAAAAACCTTCATCGTTTTATACTGTTCAAAATTTCGCACAACTTCGGTGTTCCGATAATTCTGTGCATCAATATATTATTATATGGCCCGTTTAAACGAGTACAATGTCTATAATGTGATTGGGGCGCAAAAGAATTAGTAGTCTTACTTCTTGTACCACCCATTTTTTTTTTTTAGCTAAAGTGGGTAATTCAATACTCTCTCACGAGTCTTATCTTGGTTCACAGTTAATAATCTTCAATTGAATGCTAAAAAAACTAAATGTATAAAATTCACTTTACCTAATGTAAAAGTAGAACCAACTGAAATTAAACTCAACAACGAACATTTAGAGTTAGTAAGTTCAACAAAATTTTTGGGCATAACACTAGATTCAAAACTGCAATGGAACCCGCATATTTCTATATTAGCTGGTAAACTCAGCTCGGCTGCATATGCCATACGAAAAATAAGACAAATTACCGATATAGAAACTGCCCGGACAGTGTACTTTAGTTATTTTCACAGTATCATGTCCTATGGCATTATATTGTGGGGAACGGCAGCCGATATTCAGTCTATATTTGTTTTACAGAAAAGGGCAATAAGATCTATCTATCAGTTGGGTTCGCGAATATCTCTTAGAGAGAAATTTAAAGAAATTGGAATATTGACGGTTGCATCTCAATTTATATATAGTTGTATACTTTTTGTCCGGAACAATATTAATGTGTATACCAAACATAGTGATGTACACAAACTTAATACTAGAAATAAAAACAAGCTAGTAGTGCCTTCTTACAGGTTACAGAAGGTATTAGGTTCTTTCATGGGTCAAGGTATACAATACTTTAACAAGATCCCCAGTGATGTATTAGATTTGCCAATAAATCATTTTAAAAGTCATATAAAAAGTTGTCTACAAAGTAAAGGGTATTATACCGTTAAGGAATATCTAAATGACAAAAAGGCATGGTGTTAGATATTTTAACTTTGTTGTATTTACTTTCTAATATTGTAATGGAAAGTGACTTCATATTCTAATGAAGTCACTTTTCAATAAGACTTCTCTGTGTGAAATAAAACAGGGAGAAAAAAATAGCCCTTGCTGAGTTTCTTGCCGGTTCTTCTCAGTACAAGGTCTCCCGCCGTAGTTTTGCGAACCGATGGCGTAGTTTTCGACTTTCACAAGTGCTCTGTAAAAGCCTAAATTGAATAAATAAATTTTGATTTGATTTGATTTGATTTGGGCATTAGGAAGAGATTCGTAGCCGGCTTATTGATATTCCGATACTTTAATAGCTCTAATAGTATAATTCGCATGCAAAATATGTATGATAATGCTAATCTTATATTATGCATTACATTTGTATTAAAGTACATCTCGAAAACTCATATTAACTTAAACTCAACAATCGGCATAATTCATAAATGAGAACGTAGTAGTTTCGTTTTTGTAAATATAGAAATACATTTTTATTTATATTTTTCACATACCTAACTGAAAATTAGAATAGGAAAAATCATATTTATTTTAAGTCAATTCTCTCTTCTTTTGTAGAAATATATTATTAGAATTAAAAGTACAGTAGAAAAAGGTATAGATTAGGTATTATAATTATTATTCGAAGATTTTGATTAAGGTGTTAATTTTTCTTTAAAGGTACCCATTTGATTCTAAACCGTAACAGTTTTACAGTTTTAGGGTAGAGTTCAAATTGTGAAAATTTGACATGCTGTTGTTACCAGACGTGCTACGTGAAAGGTATACGTTTACCTTACGACTGCTACGTTAATTTGTACGTGACTTAAGAAATTTTAAGAAGTTTTTGTTTAATACTTTTTTTAGTTTTCTTTATTAAGTAATAGCAGGCTGTAACAACATTCAGATATATACTGATGCGTGGTTTGTGTTACAGGTGGCGAGGCAGTGTGTACAAGTTGGTGTGGCGTGAGCTGCTGGCTTACCTCACCCTGTACTACTCCATCAACCTGCTGTACCGGTTTGGCTTATCAGAAGAACACCAGAGGTGAGACTCTAACAGTAGAGTTCTCTTTTTTACAGTCTTTATGTGGGTTTTAAAAAAATGTCTCTAACAAAAAAAACACTAACATACCCTTGCTTTACGGATAACTTTTACTATATAGTTCAATATAGTTGTTGTGTATAACACCATCCTCTGACATTGTCTATCTCATTGGTGCGTTGTTTTCATTGTGTTTTCTTTCTCTGTCTTGATGTTTGAAAAAACATCAACACATATACAAACAGGAAGTCGATCCCCGAAGGAACTATAGACAGTGCCGGTTTTAGCACTACTAGCGCCCTGGGCGAAATTTCTTCGGCGCCCTCTAACTGCAATTCAATTACAATCAGTTACTACTACATACTACAAATCAGTTACTTGTCTTTTTTTCCCTGACCCGGCCTACTTACTTGTAATTTTCCCTAAATTTAGGTAGATTGTTAAGTTGGCAGCATTAGAATGGAACGTAGTGTTCAATCGGTTTAATTTCTAGGGAATTCCCGACTTTCCGACCATACAGAAACAATGTGTTTTTCTATAATTGGGGATTCCCTAGATCTATCTCTTTTAATTTTTGACGAAGAAGAACACAATCAACAATTATCTTCTTGCTTGATATAAGTGGACGCTCTTAAAACAATTATTCGATTATTTCAAAACAAAAATACACAGTAATCAAACGTTTAACGCTACGTTACGATGCTCTTGTTCCAACTTTATAGTGACATTAGTTTTATTTAAAAAGTAGACATATAAATAGTGTATAAGTAGCTGATTCATTTTTGACGGATCACATCATTAGGTAAGTACAGATTCATTTTTACCCTAACAGGGTGTCACATAATTGTTATCTATAACTTTGTGTAATTGTTGTAACTTTGTGACAGTGAGTTTGCAGTGGGCCACTTCTTATTATTATTTTGCTTTTTATTTGTTATTTGCACTACTTATTATTTGTTATTTCGCTATTTCGAATAAGTGGATCAGTAGCTGGATCCGCTATATTCGGAACAACAGTATCAACATCATCTAGTACATGTATTTGTTGTACATCAATAACAGCATCTGTAATCATAGCACAACTTGCTCCCTTACTTCGGGATTTTTCATCCACAATCTCTTGAATAGCTATTCCTTCTGACTTGCCAGACAGAGGCTCCACTGCCGATGCATTCGTTTGTATTGCAGCATTTTAGCTTCAGCTTAACGTTTAAACATGCTCAAACGAAAAATTTTCTTAAATGACCGAGCGATAATGCCTGCCAATGTACGTAGTATTACCTAATAAAATACATATCTTCATATTGGTAATCCGTATGTTGTTCTATTTTACCATAATATAATATTTTCCTTGTTAAGTATCCTTTCAATTAATGCTAAAAGTGAGGCAACTGAAAATAAAAAAATCCTCAAGGTTCTTATTCTTTTTTCGCTGACCCAGTAATTCAGTGAGCAAGGGAACTATAAGAGGGCGTCTGTGGGAAATGAGGAAGTATGAAAAAAAAATTAGTTCCCGGAATCAAACTAGATGTCGCTACGGTATGTTCTTGATTTCTCCATAACAACCCTTCCAGTTTTCTTTCATGTTTAAAAGTAAATTAGTTTCCAAAACCCAATTAACAACTAATATTCTATTTGTACTTTTTCATATTTGTATTGATATCAAAGTTTCGAATTTTTCAAATTTTAGTTAAAATGTTAGTTAAAATGAACGGAAATGACTGTTTCTGTTCCATTCGTTTCCTGCAAAAATCTACTTTTGTTAGAGTCGCCATCTAGGTGGAGGTAGTTTTGTAGTGTTTTCGTTTTTTTAAAATACTTCCTCATTATACAGAATCAGAAAGTAGCGCCGGACGAAAAAGGGGCACCGCAGGACGCGGCGCCCCTTTTCGTCCGGCGCCCCTGGGCGGTTGCCCAACCGCGCCCTACCCTAACGCCGCTACTGACTATAGACAATCAAAATATTTCCCGATCCTACCGAACGACCAGAGGCCACGAAATTACGAAACATAAATTTTACTTTGTCAGTGGTTTCATTGTTCAGAATTTTATCCTCAAATTATATGTGAAATGGAGTCATTACTATCGTTATTTGAGGGGGAGGGTATTTTATTTTTATTAATTTTATTTACTATCATGGTAGATCCACGGTTGCATAAATGATCTTACAATATCGTCACATACATCAGATAACCAATTACAGAACCACACAAAAAAGTTAGCCCTAAAATCAGGTAACAATTTTGAGTTCACTCGGTAATTTATCGTATACAATGCATTCCCACTTTGTGACAAAAGACAAAAGTAAAGGCAAAGGACACAAATTAAACAAAGGACATACGCAAACAAAGAATTACAATACTTCTTCTTCTTTCCTTCTTTACTAGATTCATCATTCGCTTGTAATTTCAAAAAACATTTTTGACATCTTGGACCTTATTGACTTACAACTAGAATTAAAAAGGTCCAGATCCATAAGCGTGCTCAAATCATTAAGGGACTTACTTGCTCGTAAAAGGAATGTATTCTGTCTGTGATTGATTTTTAAGATTGGAATATTAAACTTGAATTCATGAAATTATTAAAAAAATATAGTCAAATATTGGGAGACCGCGGTGTATATAGAAATACGAAGCGATAAAAATTGATAAAATGTCGAGCAAACTGCCGATTGTTTCGTCGGAAACGACCGTATTTATTTTGCTTTGTTACTTTATTATATTATAGATGTTATGTTTCATACGAGACGACTTCAATCACAACAAATCATTGTTTGAAATAATAAATAGGCACTCTGCAATAATAATTGCTCTTGTGATCATATACAAATTCGAACAAATAACATCGCAACTTCTCAAGATAAGTAGCTTATGACTGCGCACAAAGGCAAAAGATGCCTTCTAACGGTGGCTATGAGCTATATATGTATCTTATATTAAAAACACTGGCCTGCCTTGTGGAACTGTTGCTGCTGGTTCACTTCAGAATTCCCTTGAAAATTCATGTTGGCTCTACAGCGATTGGGAAGGCCAATAGAAAACTATAGGATGCAGACTGTGGATGACCAGCAATCCACTGCACAGCGAGCACCCTCACCTGGTACCAAGGATCCCAAGCTTTTTTATTATTATTACAATAAAAAAAGTTTAGTCAATGATGTAATTACCATTAGTATCTAAGACTTCTTGCCAACGATCCGGTAAAGTTTGGATGCCTTTTTCCCAGAACTCTGTTGGCTGTGCCTCGAAAAAGTTGTTCAACTCCGCCTCTACGTCAAAGAAATCATTAAATTGTTTACCCCGCAAATGCTGTTTCAGGGCTCTAAACAAATGATAGTCTGATGGGGCGAGGTCTGGGGAATAAGGTGGGTGGGTATCGTCTCCCAGCCCAAGTTCTCCAACTGCCGGCGAACCACAGATGCGACGTGAGGTCGAGCGTTATCGTGCAGTAAAACTACATTGACTCGTCTTCGTCGTTTTTTCTTGATAGCGGCAGATAATTTGGGAAGCTGGGTTGAATATTTGTCAGCGTTTATAGTTTTATTGTGTAATAGCTCATAAAACAGTATGCCTTGCGCATCCCACAAACAGCAAAGCAGAATTTTTCGGCGGTTCTTTTGACTCGGCTTCGGTTGAGTTGGTGGCGTTTCTTCTCGAGGCAGCCAAAAAGCACGACGTGTATCGTTCTCGTAATAAATCCATGATTCATCTCCAGTAACCAGATCTGACAAAAACTCTTTACGTCGGGGTTGCAGCAAAAGTGACTGACAAATAGCGACGCGTACTGCACGACTGGCGTCTGTAAGGATGTGCGGTACCCACCGAGCCAAAACTTTTCGATAACCAAGCTCATGCAGATGGTGTTCCACGGCGTGGTGACTGCATTTAAGTGCTTCCGCTAATTCACGAGTGGTAGCATCCGGATTCAACTGCAGTTTGCGGCGCAAATCGTCATCATTCACTGCGGGTGGTCGCCCTGAGCGTGGCTGACTTTCAACGCTCCTGTCGCCTGATATAAAACGGTCAAACCATCGGGACACCGTCGCATGGCTTGTACTTCCAGCGCCTAATGCATTGTTGATATTGTCAGCCGCAGCCCGCGCACTGTGGCCTAACAAGTACTCGTATAAGTATAGTGTTCGAACTTGTCGCTCGTCCATTTTTCTTCAAACTGACTAAACAAATCGCGAGCGCGGCTTTATATACACCAGAAGTACCTAGAATGTTCTACAACATTCTAGAATATTATCGAAAAAATTGATTTTAAAAAGGAAGTGTTATAGATTTTTCTAGTGTGTCTCATTACATACATATTAAATAAAGCAAACCCATTCGCGAAAAGTGTTTTAGGCAAATGACGTAGAAGAACATACATTATATGCATACAATTATAATTTTAATTTGCATAAATACCAATTAAATAAATTAGGAAATGGAAATGAATGCGGCATCTAAGAGATAGTTAAATATTAACGATTTTAGGATGGGGCGTTTGTATTATTGAAATCTGAAGCAAAGAAGGTACCAAAATGTTGTGAAACAGCGCCCACCGTTCTACGGGAGCAGATAGCAAACAAAAAAGTTACTCTCGTCTAAATACATTTGACGACTTATTTCGGCAGCAGAATTTTGACCATTTTTATGCATGTTATATTTGTTGTGATCAGTATTTATTTTCACTACATCTATGCTAGTACGTGTGGCGGCAAATTAATATGTATTTAAAGCGTCGAAAGGTTTGATGCTGAGGCTAACTAAATGTTTTATATTGAGCAATATTGCCATTGCGTGAACACGCAAAATAGGCGCAATTTGGTCGTCGAGTTGCGGAGACGCCCCTTGTAAGAAGAAGCCATTGCGTGAAAATGTTAAGTTTGTCGTACTATAACTAATAATCACGTTTTATTGCTTATCTTTTAAATTACTAACTAAGTACATATAATGTTGTCGTGATCAGCTTACATTGACTTCTTGATGTGGCTAACTTTGTCATCAGATGATTGT